GGTTTTTATTGGAAACAGCAAGCCATAACATTATCAGACAATCAATTAAAATGCTCCAAAAGCTCCAACAGCACACACAGAGTGACTCGAGCCGATGCTGTTTGGATCGAGCTGATTGTGTAGCGACACCAACGCAGCCACGCCCTTAACTACGGATCCAGATGTATAAATTACAAACTTTCAACCTACTAAGGGTTGTTATAAGGGAGGAAACTATTCATTAGAGGTCAAAACAGTTTTTGCATATTTGCTGTAAAGTTTTGGCCACTTCGGGGATGACTTTATTTGTTAGACCCTTAGTTTGATAGGATAGGATAGGATAGGATAGGATAGGATAGGATAGAATAGGATAGGATAGGATCTCACACTATCATTACAGGTGATCATATATAATAAGTGAAACATTGTGGGAAATCAAAAGATGAGTTGTTTTCTCCCGTTTTGGATGATTGTTTATAGCTCCATCAGACAACCTTCTTCTCCATCCTGCAGATGCATTTTAAGAATTGAGAAATCTTTAAGCATGATGTAATGCAATCGATTTAAATGTGACCGATACAGAAGAGAGGAAAAAACAAAAATGAGAGAGGTGAGAAGGCTTCCTGATTCTCTTCACTTGCATTTAGTCTTTTACCATATCAGTTGTCATTTTGCCTTTCTGCATCTGCTGTCTTGTATGCTTTGTGGTTTTAATGGTATCTGCTCTGTGGTCTTAAGTCATTTTTGTTTCTTCTTTTCAACTTTTTACACAACATCTTTAAGGGTAACCTAGCAGTAACTGTGCAACATTAATAAATCGTAAAGATGAGTAAAGAAGACTAAATTTGCAGCATTTTCTGTAAGTGCTGCCAATCAAAACTTTGCTTTTTGCTTTAAAACCCCCTAAAACTAACTGTTATCTATTTCTCAAATGAACCACCAACCACTGTTTCAAGAGAGATCATATTTGTTCTCTGAGGTCTGTTCAACAGCATTCTGAAAAATGTGGGAAACAGCCGTGCCTGCAGAGAAAAAAACAGATAACATGCAAACAGAATGGATGTACTCTGTAATCCCTTTAAACACCAACGAGGCTGGGTTTCTTTAAGTTGCTCTCAGACAGGGTGACTTCATGTGAATGGTCACTCTCAATTGTACTAAACTGAATTTTAGTGACTCTACAACCTCTAAAAACTCCACTGAGACGAGACCAGAGATACTAGGCTTGTAAAGGTTATGCAGATCCTGTATCCGTGTATTCATCTCGGTGGACAGACTTTCACAACAGCATTTACATCACGTGACATCCGTGCAGCTTCGCTTACTGTCTGTGCATTAGTATTAAGATTGGAATCTGGCCTGCAGAACAAACGCAGATGGTGCTTTCATCAAATCATGTGGGAAATTTGTGGCGAACATGATATATCATGAGACCCTGTGTCTACACTGAAAACCATGAAAGCACTGAGTGTATGTGTATGAGCTAAAACATAAACACATCTTAACAACTGAACACAATATGATAATCGGAGATGCCTTTTGGGTTGCTGCTTCAAAGACATTTAGGCAATTATGCTCGGGTCAGATTCCACACCAGACTAAAAGAAAAATGGACTGATGGGATTGACTTTGTGCACCAGAAAACTGACTTGCTGAAACAGAAAGCTGTCTCAGCCACAGCTGGCAACACTGGATGCATCAAACGGATCCACTTTCTCAAAGCTGCTAGCTAATTTATGCAAAATGTGGCTTTTTGGTGTGCGTGCTGTGATGCACTGCTTGATAGCATAAAATAGAGTGATGGTTAGTCTGAGTACATAACTCACATATTAACTAAGTTGGTTGTTAGGTACTAAATCTACACATGTTTTTATGAACTAAGCCTAACAAGCAAGTAGAAGCGAAAGAAACACCAAGAGAGTAAAAAGAATCCAAGTGCAAAACACTAAGATGCCAACAGGAAGTAAACCAGATGTCCTGGGTAATGACCTTGGAAGTGTGCCATCGTTACCACACCTCCAGCCTCACAAAGACTTTGCATGTGTGTTAAACGTAGACATTATACAAGAGTATTCCAACAAAGAGTACAGACACAGTAAAGAGTTCCAGATCAGTGACTCAGATCAGACCGGATGACGTCCACTGACACTGGCTGTGTTGTAGAGTTGGTATGAAAAGAAAAACTATCCTCAGAGGCCAAGGCCAAAGCTAGTTCTTTTTTGTTTTGTTTTGGTAATAGTATGCAAATGTGCGTTTTTGGGCTATTTTAATTAGAGCTAGCACGATACCACTTTTTTATGTCCAATACCGATATCATAAATTTGGATATCTATCGATACCAATATGAATCCGATATAGTGTATTTTTTAATCAGTAAAACTTTTTTTTAAATATCTTGCTGCATTTTGTATAAGTTCATACTAAAGTTTAAAAACAAAACAAAACACTAAAGCTATTCTGTTATATTTGTATACAAAAAAATACACTGCACCCAAAATATTTCATAGTTCAGCAATACTGATCAATCTAATAAACTTAAACCTACACCATCCTCCCTATTCTGGTGTTTTAAAGAGTACTTAGCAGAAATATTAAGCAACCTAACTAATAGGGTTGTCAACTACCAGCAGAAAAAAATAGATAACCACCCCCCACCCTCTGCCTCGTGATGCTTAATCGAGGTAATCAACTTTAATTTAATGCACGTGTAAAAGAAATGCACAGAAATCAATTATTTTTCCATAATAATTAAATAGATTCAACATCTTTCTTCAACAGAATTGCAGACAGCACAGATGGTACCTTCCCCAAAGGAAAAAGTACTATAGCTTACTAGGGTACATTAGACGTAACAGTTACTATATACAGTAATGGACTTATATACATTTTACATCAGATTAAAACTTTGGGTGTAAGATTCAGATAATTATTTAATAAAAGCTACACATTTTAAATGAGAATAAGAAGGAAAAGTATTTCTTTGTATCCCCCCTTTTCCCTGTTAATGCCCTATCGGCCCCCCTTGCATAACTTTGCTAGATCCGCCCCTGCACAGTTACCAGCTGTCAGCTAAGTAGAAAAGGATCCTGGTGTAGAAAGTAATATTAAATACATTCTAACAACAGCTTATCAAGCTTAAACGTGCTGCTGTTGTTCAGCCGCTGGTTTCCTCTTTCTGGTGCAAAGTGGGCCAAAAACTAACAAGAGAGACCTGAGTCGACAGAAAAGCCGATCAGCTGATCATTGATCAGTTTCATGATTGAAGTAGCAGCAGGAGAGGGAGGGAGAGAGAAGAAGCAGTCGCTCCATATATGGGTTGTTAAGATTAACGTGGGAATGCTTTACAAACATTCAGAGATGAACTGAATGCTTTACTTCTCTCTGGAATAACTTTCTCAGAGAAGAAATGCCAGTTTGGTAGCGAAGCTCCAAATGCTCAACCAGACTGCCGACAGGTCTCGCTTGCCACAGCGCAAGGCAAGCATAGGCTACTGCTCCGACGTGCTAAGGTTATGAGCTGAGTTACGCCATGTCGCAAGTTTTGTGAGTTGCTTTCGTGATATTTAATGGATCGATTACATTTTTTATTTCTCTCCGATATCCGATCCAGTAATTTAGGTCAGTATCAGACCGATACCGATAGGTAATATCGGATCGGTCCCTCTCTAATTTTAATACTGGCGAATGTGGAGATTTACTGGCTTTTGGAGTGAGCCTTAAGTGGCATCCACAAGAACTGCAGTTTTTTGCGCTTTAATGTTGGATTAACTTTTAGCCTCTTGAATCATAATGACCTTAACTGAGTGTAACCTAAGTGACAGGAAAAACAAAGTCCACTTAACTGCCCTTGTGATTTTTGAAAAAATGTTACCCCCCCCTCTTTTTTTGATCCAGCATCCCTCAGTCATCCATTCTCTTTTGCTTCTCCAGTTTTGAGCTGAGCCTGTCAATATCAATAAAATCAACAAGAAAACAGATACCAGAAATTTTTTATCCCCAGTCATTGTGTTCTGTACTCCTTACTGTATTTGGTGTACCGTGTTTAGAAGTTTTATCCCAGATGAATACAAATAAAGTACCTCTTGGTGGCTGACTCATAGCTTAATGAATCTGTCTTGTATCTGCTGTTGTATAGTGGAAGCTTTGAACAATAGGCAGATTTGCATATTTAATCACACTGACAAAAGGAAAAAGAGTCTGTATTTTTAGTGCTGAACTAGTCCCGCAGTTTTGAGACAACTGCCAGAAAAGCTTCGCTAAAACATGTGGATTAACCGGTCATAGTTTGCTATGGTTGTTGTTTGAGATCTGTCGTGCAGTTTTTACAAGATTTGTGAGGAAATTTGGAATTAATATTTCAGGACCCTGAAAGCCAGAGGGATAAGGCCTTGAAGAGGTCAGACCTTCTCTCTGATATTTTGTATTGTCTTGTTGCTCATTATATTGCTAACCCTAACCCTAGCCCATAACTCCCAACAGAGCATCTGTATACTCAAAAGTTCTTCCCAGCTGGTTTTCTGGTTCTTCAAGTGTCTCATTTGCATAATATGTAACGACACTATACCTCACCTCCAGCCAAATGTTAGCTATGATAGACTATAGCCACACAAGTGGTTATGGATAGATAGGCATCAATTATGCTACATAGTTGTATAATAAGCAGCCAAAATTATGTAGAACTTCAAACATTACACCCACACACTACTGCGTACCACATGGGAAAAGGAATTTTTATCTATTTTTTTAAATCTCAACTTGAAAAAATATTATACATCCCTTGTTTGTTCACATAAGATTTCAAGAGGAAAAAAGACTTTGTGACTTTTCACCTTATTTTAAACATTGTAGCCATTTATTTCTGAATCTCCCATTTAGACTGCAATCAGGCTCCCACTGCATGCATGGGCTTCACAGCACAGTGAGTTGTTTCAGGAAGTTAATGAGCAGGGCTTGTTGTTGAGAGGGTGGAGTGTTCCTCTCAAACACAAACAAGCCGTAAAGTGCTGCAGGGGAGAGGGAAGTGGGAGGTTAGCATAGCAGACAAGAGAAACACTCCAGTCCTGAGTGTCGCTCCACGTCAGTGTTTGTTCCCGTAGAGGACTTAAATTGCTCTGTCTGTACTCATGAGGATTTACGGTGTACTGGCATCACGAGTGAGTGTTTGCACCTCTGTAATCACATGTAAATTTTTGCTCCAGCTGTGGGGGGTTGGGGGACATATTTCAGGCAAGGGCGTGGATTTCTTTGGAAACACAAACCTCATTGAGATAGGTTGCGGTTGTGCTGCTTCTCTATGAAAGCTTTGGCTGGTGGTCTTTACCGTAAATGTGTGCACAGAAAAAAAGAAAAGGGAAACTCCCAAGAGGCCTTGTTTTGGATTTGGAAATGGTTCAGAAAGTATTTTTGAATGAAAATGGCTAGTGTGATCATAATTTTTTCTGTATTTGGGACTCAAGATTTATAAAACAAACAAGTAGGGCCTTATTTTTAAGCTTCAGTATCGTCAGAGGCATGATAGGTGCTGTAACTATGGCAGCTGTTTGAAAAAGGAAAATGAAAAGAACATCTAGATAATTCAGAAAACGTTGAAAAAGACTGGTAAACCCACACATACAAGGTTTACTTTTTCCTGCACAGAGGAATTTTGAACAGCTAAGAGGTTTATTCAGATCCAGAAGAAAATGACAAGCATTAGAATGATTTTTTTAATGCATTTATGTTTACCAGAGTTTTGTTTATCAAATGCTTAACTTGTGACAGACTACAGACTGCACCAGAAGTGAAAGTGAAACTTTGTAAGAGGTAGTGATGAATGGCTTCAGAGCCACTGGCACTGATAAAAAGGCAGGAGGCCGAGCTCAAGATGTCCATATATTAATCGAGAGTGAGAGTGACCAGGATGAACAAGGTCAAAAATGAGTACATCAGAGGGATAGCTCAACTTGAGCAAGGGTCGAGGCTGCGATGGTTTGGACATGTGCACTTTATTAGATACACTTTGCTAGTAGCTGTTTGGACGTCTTTTTTGATCCATATTGACACGATAGCATCATGCAGCTGCTGCAGATTTGCTGGCTGCTAGATGCAGGGATGTTTTACCAATATTCTATTGTCCAGTTTTGGTGAACTGTAGCCTCAGTTTCCTGTTCTTAGTTGATATTCTGCTTCAAAATTTGAAGTGTTGAGCATTCAGAGATGCTCTTCTACATATTTTGGTTGTAATAAACAGACCACCCAGACCAGCCCACCTGACACCAACAGTCATGTTTTGATCAAAGTCACTTAACTCACCTCTCTTATGTCTTCTCTTCTTTATGAGTTCAGTCACAAAGAAAAGAAAGCGTTAACTGTGTAAAAACATGGGTACAAATGGGGGTGGAGGGTTATAAGATTAAAAAAAATGCTGGTGTTGACAAAAAAAGAATCCAACATTTGCTAAAACCTTACACTAGCTATATTCATTTTACTAAAGTTTATTCTTTAGTGTGTTCTTGCAGACAAATTTGTGAAATTATGACAAAGAATCTTTTTTCAAAGAAGTCATAATGTGGTTAAACCTTTGCATCATTTCAGAAGTGCTACAAAATGTAATCCTGGGAGAACTGCCTGATGTCAGGTGTTTCAGTAAACCATGCAGAGTAGGATTGTGGCACAGCCACTCTGCTCTGTGTGATGGAGGAGAGAGCCAAGCTTGTGATGACTGTTTACTCAGCCCCACTCTGAGTGAACACTGCCACTATTCATCCCATGCCAGCACTGGAAAAATCAGACACACACATACATATACACACATATACAGCAGGCGTACAAAAATGCTCCATTATGTGAGAAATCTGTGAATTTTCACAACTTTGTTACAGGAAAAACAGAAACTTATTTAAGTAATAAGGTGTAATATGGTTTTTTGCTAGTTCTGAATGCTTTAATGGACTAACTTCGCTCTTACACATCTGCTTAGGTCAGGTGAGCAGCAGCTTTTGGTGCTGGCATCTCATTGGAGATTTCAGGTTATCTCCAATTTAAAGCCCATCTTTCCTGGATGATATTAATCACACCTATTAATCTTCAGCGCTCTTTATTCTTTTTCTTTTTTAATGCTGTAACTTGTGTCTGACGTTGTGCAGCACACCGGTCAGTGTTTGTCATGCCAAAATCTGGTACACAAATAAACAGTCTTGACTCACCTTCCTCTCTCACACAAAGGACAGTTTGTACCTTGAGAGCATTCACAGGAAAACTCGTGGTACACCTTTGAGGGCAAACTTTTCCAAGAACTCCGCGAGGGAACAAAAAACAAAATGTAAGACTAGTAAGCACAATGTGAGGGTAAAATAATAATAAAAATAATGGAAAAAAAAGAAAAAAAGAAAATGAAAAGTGGCAGTAAAAATACCAAATCACCACAAATATGTTCTGTATTTCAGTTCAAAAACATGTTTTTGTTTTAGTAAAAACGGCTCAGTTATAAAACGTCATTTCATGTCACGTGTACGACTATGGAAACAAAAGTAAAAAGTGCAACACCACCACCTCGTGGACAAATGACATCAGTGCAGCTTCTTTGTCTTTGTCTCTCACAGACTTTGATGTAAGGCACAGGTGTTGAATTCCAGGCCTCGAGGGCCGGTGTCCTGCAGGTTTTAGATGTGTCCTTGATCCATCACAGCTGATTTAAAAGGCCAAATTACCTCCTCAACATGTCTTGAAGTTCTCCAGAGGCTGGTAATGAACTAATCACTTGATTCAGGTGTGTTGACCCAGGGTGAGATCTAAAACTTGCCGGACACCGGCCCTCGAGGCCTGGAGTTTGGCACTTGTGATGTAAAGTTTCCTTTGCTTCTAAAATATTTACACTCAGTCCACTTTGTTAGGTACGTTCGTTCAACTCATTTCTAATGAGACACATGGCGGAAACTCCCCCTAATGGTGAAGAAAGGGGATTTAAGAGACTTTGAAGTAGTGAGAATAATCTGAAAAATAGAATAGAATAGAATTCAACTTTATTGTCATTGCACATGCACAGGTACAGGGCAACGAAATGCAGTTTGCATCCATCCAGAAGTGCTTTAGTGATATAGATATATTACAATAAATATTAGCAATAATATAGATATGTAAATATATTACAGAAATGGGTCTATTATGGTATGTTATAATGTACACGGTATGAAGTATGTTGTGAATATTCTATAACTATAGGTATGTACAGGCTGTAGTGAGTACAAGCTATGTACAGGATATGAACAGGATATAAATATGAAAAACTATACAGAATATGAAATAAATAACTTTACAGAAATCTGAGATATACTGTTATACAGAAATGGGAACTATGCAAGTTGTAAACAGTTGTAGGGTTAAAAATTATCGTATGTACAGAATGATTATTACAGAGCAGTAATACAGTAGTGCAGTTAAGATAAGTGAGATATGTGGATAATTTCTACAGAGGCTATATAAAGTGCTAGTGGTTGTGAGTGGTGGTTCAGTCCATGTTATTATTGTGTGTTTGAGGGTACAGTTGTCCATTGTGGGTGTGTGTGTAGGTGGTTGTGGGTGTGTGTATGTTCAGTCCATGTTTTAACGTGGGTCAGATGTCAGGAGGCAGAGTTCAGAACATACCCAGTGAGCAGCAGAAAATGGCTTGTAGATGTCAGAGGTCAGATTGTTGGCTACATTGTTTCGATAGGAAGGCAACAGTAATGCAAATAACCACTTGTTATGACCAATGAATGCTGAAATGCATCTCTGAATGTACAATCCTTGAAGCAGAATATCTACAGCAACAGACCACACCAGCTGCCACTCCTGTCAGCTACAAACAGGAAACTGAGGCTGCAGTTCGCACAGTCTCACCAAAATTGGAAAACAGAATATTGGAAAATTGTTACCGGATGAGTCTGTATTTCTGCCACAATATCTAGATGGTAGGATCAGAATTTGGAATAAACAACATGGCCCAGTTCTCCTGGATCCATCCTGGGGAGCGTTATTGCAGCTTCCCACCCTTGATTTCAAGTACATTTTTCTATTTCTCTCTCACTGACACACACACACACACACACACACACACACACACACACACACACACACACACACAACAAGAAGATTGTTGACTTATGTACCTTTGCATTTTTGAAATTTTGTGTTTCAGGTGCTGTATGTTTGATTTCTTACAGGCTTTGGAAATACACTGTGCATTTCTATATACATATACTCACCATTTGTAATATAATAACTGAAATAACACAAATTTATATGAAGAAATGAACAGATAAACTGTCACAATATGCACAACGCATGGAAAGAATGAGGTGGGCCCAAATGCAGACAACTGAGAGATGGAGGTAAAAGTTTAACAAAAAGCGAGCCTTTATTCTTGGCTGCACAAAATACTACAAAACAAAAGGCAAGGGTGACTGAGATAACTAACAAAAACCTAAACTGGGATAAATTAAAAATTACAGACTACTTAAACTTGGAACCTGGAAACACGTGAGGAACAAAGAAAAACACAGAGGGTAACAAGGGAATACGCAACAGGAGGGAGACACAGCTGAACCTAATATGACATGACGAAACAAAGGGGAAGCAAAACTCAAAACAGTAAAGTAAAACAGACTGTCGAAGTAAAACAGGAACCAAGAGTCATTCACAAAGATACAGACTTGACACTGATATGAGGAACAGAGGGAGCAGAAACAGATGAATAAACATGAAGACAGAATGAAACCTACACTGGAGACATGACACACTAAACATGGGAGGCACAGGAACAAAACCTAAGAACTACAAATCACTGTATATAACCATTAACTAACTAAAATGAAGCATATTAATAATAAAAAAACCAAAACAAAACACGGAGCCACTAGACTCTGGGCCATGACATAAACTCTGATAAAGAGGAGACTAGATTTTAGAGGTAATCCTGGAAAAGCAGGTGCAACAGCACATTCAGATCACAAGTCTGATTGCACGAGCTGGCTGCAGGTTCCCTCAACCTTATAAACCTTTATAAGGGTGGGGAAACAGGCAGTTGGATGAGTGATGAAACGTATCTCCCACTGAAAATGCTGCGTCCAGATGAACAGAATCAACCTTTTGGGGGCAACGGAATAATGAAATACAATATTCAGTGTGTGATGAAATAAAAGCATGTGTACTTATCAGAGGCAGTATATATTTAAGATGGGAAAAGTTCCACAGATGATTAAAAAAAAAAGACTGCTTATCAAAACTGAATGCCTGCTCAAAAGTTACAGCCTGATTTTTCACATTTGGGAGAACTGAAGATGAAGCTGCTCAATTAGCGTGGGAACCAAACTCTCAGATCCAGACCCAAACAATCCAAAGCTGATCCAGCGATGCCCACCCAAGATACCATGATCAATGGTGTCAAAAGCAGCAGAAAGAGCCAACAGTACATGACCAGAATAATCATTTGACATTTAATAACTCTCTATGCTGGCCATTTGTGGTCATTTTTGCTGTGTTAATGCATATGGAATGAAACTTCCCAAGGGTCTCAATTTGTTTTCAGATTTTTAAATTTTTTAACCTCAGCTCCTTAAATATATCAGTAATATACTCTATACATCCAGTTGTTCCTCTTGGCCACTTTTGGCCAATTGAAACCGTTTAAATGCCTTTGCCCTGTGGAAACCACTTCACAGGAGTGGGAATCTTCTATTCTTGTTGTCTTCTTGTTGTCTTCCAACAAGTACATTGTACAAACAAACTGGTGTTTTAATGCTTAAAAATATAAAAAATTTATGACTATTTTACATTTAAGAAAAGAACTGATGTTAGTTAAAAACATCATACAGAAAAAATAGAAAGAAAACTTCAAAACAATAAAAATTACAGACCTAATCTGTTGGTGGACACTTTTGGCCATGAACAGGCTGAAAGGATAGTGATTTTAAACAAACAAACGCAGGGTTTAAAAAATAATGATAATAATTTAAAAAAATATTTTTTGGTAAAGTGCTTCTGGAAAGTTATCTAAGAAATTATGAGCAAATAGGACCTTTGTAATTTGGCTGGCACCTATGTTTTATCCCACCATATTATTGAAGAGCTGTCTTGGATGACTGATATTGAGTCACGATGGAGGGAGTAAGATAGATGACTAAGAATCTGGAGCTTTGTGCATTTCCACAAACTCTTCACTTTCTGGTAGCTTAGCTTGAAGCTGTGAATGCTGTTGTTCAGAAAAACGAGTGAGAGAGAGTAGTAAATTTGTTCACCTTTAGTAATCTTCAGTAAGTACTTTAGTAATCTGCTGTTCAAATGAAGAGATATTTTCTTATATTACATTTGATACTCTGTGCTCACCCATTAGCACATGACGCTATCATGTCCCAACAGCAACAGGAGCTGAAAAATGTAAAATCCTTACGAAGCACTTCAGTGAGGGATCCAAATAGCTGCTATAGTCACTGGATCTCACTCCAACATAGAGCACATTTAGGATGGATGTGCAGCTGATAGGTCTGCAGGAACTGTGTGATGTCATTATGGACCAAAATCTCAGATGACTGCTTCCAGCACCTTCTTAAATCTATGCCATGAAGAAATCTATGCCATGAAGAATTGAGGAAGTTCTAAATGTAAAAGGATCCAACTTGGTACTACCAAGGTTAACACTTAATTAAGTGGCCAGTGAAATGCAAGAAATGCAACATCATAGTGCCCAGTTTCCCAATAATTCCCACCAAATAGTGAATCTAATATTTTCCATGACAAAATGAGAGATTCGTTTAAAAAACACAAAAACTAATTGCCAAACTCATAACCCCAAAGTTTTACTTTAAACTCAGCTTAGCAAAAAACCAGATCTAAATTGAGTCTTCATGCACTTTGTTACAAGCAGCCTGTTGCAAAAAACACCCACAATTTGTTCACATTTCTTTAGTTGGCAAAAGAAGAAGTGGGTGTTCTTAAGATAGAGAATCAAAAGAAAGCCTCATGTGATGTGGCATATGGAGTTGATTTGTATGCCAGATTACACAAAAACTGCACTGAAAGTCAAAGGCAACAAATGTTGTGGAAAGAAATAAATTATGTTTTTCTTTGTTAAAACACTGGAAACTGTTTCTCTAAAGAGAGTGTGTGTAGGGCGAGGAAGGAGAGTTTGCTGATTTTAAGACATGATAAGAAAAAAAACAGGTTGGAAACAATTGCCCTAAACTGTCTATTAAATATAGACTTTCACAACATGACTATCATCATGTGATTTTCATCACATCTCTGCTCCGTCTGTGGTTCTTAGGTAAACAAACAGAGGAAGAAATGGAAAGAGACAGGCGACAGATGGGGAGAGTTTTTGTAGCACGAGGTGAAGTCCTGTAACGACAGCGCTGAGAAACCTGAGTAAACGGATTACCACAGTTGGCTGCGGTAGGTGTCCTTCCCCTCCAGCTTCACCTGTCAAATCCTGAAAGTCTGAACCGAATCAAAGTCAACCTTCACCTTACTTGTCCCAAACCAGTAGATATTAGACTCTGAGTTTCTGTATGTGGTATTTGAGGTGAAAATAATTTTTCTCAGATTCACTAACCAAGATTAATTCCACATTTTCTGTGCTAGACCTCTCCATGGTCTCATCCACAAGCTGCCACAGGATAATAAAGGAGTTCATAGTTTACACCCTTTGAATCATTATGGAGTATTAGTCACATTTCAAGCTGTGTTAACTTTTGTATCTCTGAATAATAGTCTATGCTTTGCTGCACTGTAGATAAGCAACAGTTAACAGCAAGGAACTGGTTTTTCCTGTAGGGGTGAGATGCTTTATATTTAACGTGAGATGAACTGTAGCTAAAGAAATATGATACTCAACCTTAGCCTTCATGCCTCATGTGAGGGGTAAGTTGATCCACCTGACACACTCAAAAAAACCCGATTCTTTGTCCTTAATAAACACGAAGCACTAATTTTGAGTAGAATGCTACTGAGATAGATAAAATCAAATGTTTATTTAGCCAGATAATGACAGCCAGATTCATTCACTGAATTCCACCTTCAGACCAACTGTATAATCTGTAGTATAAAGACAGTCTAGGGCCTAGACTGCCTAGACAGGATACTGCCTAGACTCTAGGCAGTATCCTGTCACGGACGATAATCAGCCAGGACAACTCATGAAACATCTGCTTGCATGTTGTTGAAATCAGCTGTGTACATTCACAAAGAGCATCAAACCTATTCTGTATTTAAAATATTAAAAATAATATTCATTGTTATGGTGCAATATGAATTTTAGGATCACATATTTGTCTAAGCTTCTCTCTAAACTTTATGCTCATTTTACTCCACAGCCACTAGTTTGGGAAAAGAAAGTGCTTCTGACAAACAAGAGCAACGTTTTTACCAAAGTTGTGACGTAAATGCGATAAACAGGCAACAAACAAAGCTGATTTATAGATTAGTGGAGAAAATAGAAAGAAATATATCTACTCCAAAAATAAAACTAAATGCTTTTGTAGTTATGACAACAGTATTTACTGTGTGACACTGTAGGTACATCCCAACCCCAGTCACCAGTAAATATATATAATAATATAATAATATATATATATATATATATATACAGCTGATCATCAACAATTCAACAAGTCTGCTCCTGCAGACTTGTTGCACACTACAACAGATGGAGCACTTGTGCTGTATTTAAGAAAGCTAATCTGTAAATCAGATTGGGAGCGTCCACATCAATCGGACTTCGATGAATCATGTGTTCAAGTGAAAAGCCACTGGACCATCTGGGCCATCTGAACCATCTGGCCATGAAGCCGTGATTCCTCCTGATGGTAAGAAGATAAGGCTCTCAGTCTGTGTTCGTCTGTTAGAACGAGGCGGTAACAATGTGTTAATCTTCCTACTCGAAGTAAAACTATTTTCCTAGGAGGTCAGTGTGCTGAGTGAGGTGACAGAGGACGTGCAGAAGCTTTGCTTCTGGCTGTGACTTTGGGATAAAATAAGGAAAAGGATGGCAGCTATGTACCGATCACCCTCTCTGGGAAACAAAGAATTAGTGGCTCTGTACGGAGGGGAAAGAGATCATTATTTTGACAAGGATGAGGACTGTATCAGTGAGGTAAGGAAGCTAAAGGTTTAAAGATAATAAAGTCTGTTTAAATCTGTTTTCAATATGTGTATGTATATGTACATTCAAAGTTAGATAGAATTATGAATTACGAAGTTGTGCACTTAGTTGTGCACTTATGTGAACAGAAGGAAATCCCCTGACTAGTTCCCACATCCTTCCTCAACGTTGCACTGAAAATCTTTTATTTGAGGCATTGCATGCAGAGCATAAAACATTAGTATAAAATACACTACTTCAGCGGTTTCACAGCTAGATGAAAGAAGTCTGAGTGCAACAGACAGTTGCTATTGTTTCTGATAACAACTACATAAGGTGTCTAAAAATGAAAAATGGAAATACCCTTATGAAGTTAATTTTTTATGCACACTCTAACCCCATGAATGCAAGATCTTTGCAGTTCAGCCACAGGTAGATGAAGGTTGTATACATGCATTGCATACTAAACCTGCTTTTGGTGCTGCAATGACTTGTTAATGGCTTGTGTAATGTTCCTCTTAATAGAAGCCAATATAGAAAAGGTTGAAAAAATAATGTGCAATCACTCAAAGCACTCAAAGTAAATCTATTGCACTGAATTCATTCGCAATGTTTCATAATCTTGGCAACTTCTAACCTGTCAGGAATGTGACCTGGACTCGGAGTGCAGTGAGGAAGGAAAAGACGGGAGAGGCATTCGCAGCTCTCTGTCACTGGAAATCGTTGGTCTGCAGAGGGAGCAGCATGTTTACTTCTCCAACCAGGAGTACTACAGGAGGCTGGAGGAGCTGAAGAGCAATCACCTGAGGAACATGGCTGAGTTGGAGAGGATGTACATCAGCCAAGGCAAGGAAAGGCATGGAGGGGGCGATGACGCATGTCTGGGAAGAAACAAAGAGGCCAGGCAGCTCCTCAGGTTGGATACGCTCTATGACTCACACTTAAACCTTGACATAATAGAGAAATGGAAACATAAAGACCCCAATAACTATTGCTTAAATAATTGTATGGTTTAGTTTTTTTTTTATAAAGTCAACAGCCATCAGGTGTTAAATCAAATCTGCCTTAGATTAGATTAGATTAGATTAGATTAGATTAGATGAAACTTTATCAATTCCTCGGATGGTTTCCTCCGGAAAATTCAGTTTCCAGTAGCACAGCACCGACAGAAGTTGCATGTTACAGATACAATAAGGGGAATGAGAGTAAGGATATAAGCATAAATACACCATATACACACATGTATAAATACAGAATATACAACATGGATAAATAGGATTGCACATTTGAGGGACAGCACAGTTCCCTGTGGTGCTCCTGTGCTGCTGACCACAGTATCAGACGTGATGTCCTTCAGCCTGACGTACGGTAGTCGGAGATCCAAGCAATCAGGCATGGGTCCACCTGCATCCTGTTTAGTTTCTCCAGGAGCAGACAGGATTGCATTGAAGGCACTGGAAAATTCAAGAAACAGGATCCTGACCGTGCCTTTTCCCTTGTCCAGGTGTGATTGGGCTCTGTGTAGGATGTCATCCTCCATCCCAACATCCCTCTTGTAAGCGAACTGTAGTGGGTCCTGGGCCACTACAGTAAGAACAAAGATGAGTGCCTAGCGTGCTCTCATTTACATGTTGTTTCCAAAAGAATTCGATAACTATTCAAAAGCAACATTTATTACAAAACAACAACAATAATAATATCTCTGAAGGATGATACAGACATTATTCAAATAATTAAGGCTTAGTGGACTAAATCAGAAACTCACACACGTAATCCGTTTTCTCATTTTTCCTGTTTCCTGTTGAGTCAGGAACCTTTTGAAAGGAAATTCAAACAGAATTTTGACGCAGTAGCAAGAACTCTGTTTCCAAACTTTAAATGTCAAAAGTCACACATTTTTGAACTGTGACCTTTAAAGTGAAAAAAAAAAATTCCCTTAAAGGATGTTTAATGGATAGGAAATTGTTTGTTTTTCTTACTGGGAGTTGTGCTTTGTGTTGTGCTACAAATATTTAATAATGTAAGAGCTTTATTTTTTAGAGAATATGTGAAAAATTGGAAATCTATTTAATTCTCAGGAGTGGGACCACATGCCCAAACACTGCCTTCCTGTCCTTGCATTTGCTCACCTGTAACCTGTTTGCTTTTGTTTCTTACACCCCATCACCGTTATTTCTCTTCCCAAATGCTGCCACTGACCCACCACTTTACTTCTCATTCTTCTGAAATCTTCACTGACAGTTTACAAGTGTTTGGCATATACATTCATTGTTAATTTGACTGAGAATGTTAATGTCTGACCTAGTGGCCCTGCCAGGAGACTCCAGAGGATCAACTCCCAGGAGGAGCTGGACTTCCAGGAGTCATCAAGTGGCTCGGACCAGTCGGAGCTCTGTGGAGAGGACAGCATTGGGGAGCTGGACTGGACTCCCAGCCAGGAGCAAATTTTTGAGAGGTTGGTAATGAAGTATTAATTCACAGCACTGCTGAGTCTTCATTGGATACTGGAAGAGAGTGGAAAAAGATACAGGGAAACTCTGAGCATCATGTGTAATTCTTAGCTTTAGGGCCAGTCAATGCTATTAGTTCCTTCATCCCCTAGGAACTGCCTGTATACTCTTGTCACATTAGGCTGGGCATTGTTGGGCTCGACTGTGCTGAGCAGTGAGCACAGGGCCCAAAAGAGGACATCATGCCCTCAGGCCACCCTCATGAAGCCTAGAATAGTATAGCTGCTTTATTGTTGTTCAGAATATACACCTGTTAGTGCAGATCAGCATGAAATTTCAGTGCATGTACTCGCCATCTGACTGAACAATATAAATGATAAATAAATCCAAAGGTATGAAAATAATCTCAGATTTGTACACGTATGTGAATACAGGAGGAATTTGTCTATATTCATTATTAGAAAACGGGAGAAAACCTGTAAAGAATATTAGGAAAAACTGCCCTAAATATACAGTCACATTGTGCATATATGTTTGGGGGTTGGAGGGTAGGGGTACAGCATAGAGGAGTAGCTATGAGTTCCAGAGTCTGATGGCATTGGGAGTGAACCTGTTGCAGAATCTGACTGTCCTAGACCTGATGCTGCAATATACCTCTTGCCAGAGGGGAGCAAGGATGGGGTGATGGGCGCGGACGGAGTCTTTGATGATGTTACAGGTTCTGCTGAGACAGCGTCTGTGCACGACATCCTGGATAGATGGAAGAAATGTCCCAATGATCTTCTCAGCAGTCCTCACCACTCTCTACAACGATTTCTTCACTGTGGGGAATGACTGGGCTGTTCCAAATGAGCTGTTGAATGCGGTGGAAAGATTCGACACATTCACAGGGCTTCATCTCACCATCACTACCAGGGAATCACAGACTAAGCTCTAACGAGGGACCATGGGACACAGCACATACAGTTTGAGAGAGATGAGGGAACTGGCCACCAGTGGGAATACAGCTGATACTAATCACAGACAAATGAGACAAGGAAAGCAAAACAGTTTTCCCTTAAGCTACCAAAATAGAAGAGGAAGTAACAGAACACTGGAACTGAATCACAGGCTTGACTTTGAGACAGAAAGGTAAAGAAACAAAGAGAGACAGACCAAGACATGAGAACTGACAGGGACAGGAGATAAAAATGGAGGCATGATTGACACTGAGACCCAGACAAAGATACTCAAGCTACACACAGACAGAAGACAAAACAGAGACAAGACTTGGATGGACCGGACACAGAAAGGAATTATCATCTGAAGAGAAACCAAAAACTGGAAGGCAAGATGACAAATGCAGAAGCGCCAATAATACAATACACAGGACACAAAATAGACAGGCTTGACCACAATTACCATCACAAATCCAAAAGAATACACCGTGAATACATAAAAGTCAAAACCCTGGGTCAATGACTCGGAGACCATGATACTAGTGCACCTGTTGTTAATTTCATTAAAGCCAAATCACATAAAACCTGCTGCTTATGTGACCAAATCACAGAGGTTTAATTGAGTTGATGCTATACACTAATTAAAAAATATTCATACAAATAAAGGAATAAAGAGGGAAAGAAAAACCCACAAACAATAAAAAAGCACAAGGAAATTTAAAATAGTCATAATCATAATAAATTTACATATGGGCTTAAGCATTAGAGATAGTTTGTGCTATCTGATCTGATCTGAGTGATCTCAGATATTTGTGTTCTCACTTATATCCTCACCATGCAACATCTACACAAGTTCAGTGGTTAAATCAACATATTACTGATGAACAGATCTCACTATCACATTTTATTCTCCTGTATTTTCCCTCAGAGACGTGCTGCTGAGCCCAGAGAGGATGACGAGCCAGAACCGGTTTCGCTTCCAGCCCAATACCTCCTGTCCGAAACCGCAGGCAAGAGTGTCCGATCAAGCTGGTGCCAGAATTCTGCCCAACTCCAAAGTCACTGTTCCCAAACCTTTCCAGATGATGCTAAGAGAAGAGGAGAGGAAGAAGCACAAAGTGCGCACACGTTCAGAGATTGAGCTGGAGAACACGCTGCTGAGGCAGGAGTTGGAAGAGCTCCGAGAATGCCAGAAAAAGTTCCGGGCGTCACCTGCTCCGGCACACATACACCTGCCTCTCTATGAAATTATCAGCCGTCGCAATAGTCAACGGTCAAACCAAAGCAGAAGCAACACCAACAATAACAGGAACATGGATGCTACAAGCACCCAGACCTCTACTGCACTCTCACCACAGCCTTTTCAGTTTTTGGAGAGAGAAAGGAGGAAGAAGGAGGCCAGGATTGTGGCAGAGCTTGGAAAGTTTGGTGAGAGAATTGAGCGACATAACTTCAAGGCAAAGCCAATGCCCACATCTATTTATGGCACCAGACACAGAGAGGGCACCATGACTACAAGCCATGATCCCTACACTCAAATCTTCTACAAAATGGAAAGAGAAGCTAATGAGAGCCAAAGTGATCAAAGCTCAGACCTGGAGCTTGATATGCACCAATCCGACTCCTCTCTCGACTCCTGCAGGTCCCAAAGAAGTCCTTCTTCCAAGCCAATGAAGAAGCAAATACAGCTGTCCATTGAGATGGTGAAGGAGAGAGAGACCCCTATCACTGACCCCAGCGGCTGCAACATCTGCTTGTCTCAACAGCTGGGTGGCCCAGAGCTTCTGCTCAGTAACAAAGGTGTTCTCAGTGTGTGACAAAGTGTTTAAAACTCACAGCAAAAAGGGAGACGAGGAGCAGTTACATCTACACTGTTTTTGAGTTAGTTTTACAATGCAGGCAAGTCAACATGGTTTCTAGTTGCTCTTGATCAAACAATAAAACACGGTTAAAGAAATGCATGTGCAAGGATGTGTTGTTTTTGTTTCTGTTTTTGTGGAATATTTTGCAATCAAAAATACATTGATTGTTTTCTGTCATAATTTATTGTTTGTTTCAGGTTGTTTCATTTTTTTCAGTTTATATATTTAGAACCACCACAGTCGCATCAAGGCACTTTTTATTGTAAGGTAAAGACTTTAACAGTAATACAGAGAAAACCCCACAATCAAATTCCCCCTCTGAGTCCTCCTTTAAGCAAACACTGGTGACAATGGGAAGGAAAAACTCCCACTTAACTTTTGCATTTGCTGTAACCAGTTAGGTGTGATGGAGACAGGACAAAAGACACAGTGTGAAAAAGAGCCAGAGATTAATAATGACTAATTATTCAATGAAAAGTGTATTAATACACAGTCAGTGAAAAAGGTAAGTGAAGAAGAAACATGCAGCACATCATGGGAAAGCTCTAGTAGCCTAGGACTATCGCAGTATATCTAGGCAGGAGTCAAAAATCCCCTGATCCAGCCACAACTATAAGCTTTCTCAACAAGGAAAGCTTTGAACCTGGTCTAATAGCACGCTGCCTCCTGATCCTGAATCAAAACTGGGAGCTTTTGATTCAGGATCAATTTTCGCCACTCACTAACTTCGGCTATTTTTCCCATCTCTGTGTTTATGAACTGTTCGGTAAAATGTTGCTCAAACAGGTTAAAACTAATCATGTACCCGTTTCTGCAAGTTCAGGGAACAAAATACCGGTCTGGGCACATATTCAACCAATGACTGACCATTCTCAGTGAAATGCCGTAAATAGCGGGGTGTTGGTATGTGTACCACAATCGCGTTGGTGCCAGATGATCACACCGCTCACGGAAGTCACTCCTCCACGCGCGTAGCCAGCTGCAGCTGAGAAGAGGGCGTGTAGCCCATTACAGTGCTGCAAGACGTCTTTAGAGATAAAAGCTTAGGTGTCAGTCACAGCACAGGAGACGAAAGGGCTGGACGCCTGTGAAACGTTAAGCCTTTTAAGCGGAATCCTGAAAATAACCAACGCTGGAGTTCATCGGAATTCTCAGGATTATGGAAACTCTGCGCATTCTGAGTCTGGGTAAGTGCACTTTATTTAAGCCTTTACTGAATAACTGAAGTCAAATAGCTAAAGTGTTTTTGCATTCGCTTGCAGGGGTGATTTGCATCAATATGATCTAACTTTAGCCTCCTGTAGTCTTAGTTGTTCGCCACAAAGCAGGTGTTATCAATAAAGCGCGGTTTGCGCTTCTGTTTGGAGAGTGGTGATTTCTTAAGACATTTAAGCTCGTGTTTATTTGAGGGGGACGAGGAGGTTTGTCCAGTCACCAAGTTAGACTTGAAGTCAGTAAATGCACGTGGCGCCTCCCCACGCACTTTGCTGGCTATCTGAGTTTGTCAAACTCAGTCTCTCACTCAGCGCAGTCGATCTCCATCCTCCGCCCACTCCACTGCTGGAGCAGAGTGTGTTCTCTTTCCTCCTTGCTTCTTCATTGTACCGTGTGTTTGTGCCACTCCCTTCTTTTTCTGGACAGATATTAAACTTGACCTTGCAGTAGCATAACAGATCCGACCACTGCTGACATTAAAGAGAAACAAAGTTATAAGTTATAAATATGTTATTTTTGACAAACTATCCCATTACATTTTTTTCCAAGTTATCTGCCCCATCAATGTTTAAACAAATACTGGCTACATTGCTTTTAAACACAATACACGATTTTGGCACCCAATGTCAAATCATGTTTCTGGTCTCTTTCCCCCCAGCTGTGTTCGTGAATCTTTGCTATCCACAGGAGGTCCCATGTAATGTCAGTCATAGCCCTCAAGGAATCATTTATAGAGTCCCAGAGTTCCAGGCACAGGCGTGTGACTATCACTGGGATAATGCAAGCGTAAGTTCAACACCTGCTTAGTTTGGGAAGGAAATTTTATTTCCTGATGTATCCTGTGCCTCTGTTTTGTTTTTTTTTTTTTTTTTTTAGCATAAATCTATTATATACAGGTGTTTCTCATGACAGATAAAGCAGAAAAAAGTGCTAAAAAGAATGAATTTAATGTTTGATTGTCTGATCGGCACATGGCCATGTGGCTTTATATGATTAATGAGATTGTTATGATAGCTCCAGAGCCACTATTTTAACCCTGTTACGACTGTGACAAACCCTCTTACTGAATGAATTTGTAAAACTGCTCTGATTTTCTCATCTGTTGCCTTCAGGGTCATGTCCTCGCAAACCAGAAGGGTAAAATGGATAAACTGGTACTGAAAAGCAGTAACAGGAGTATTATGATTACCAGCTGTTTGAGCCACCTCAACTATACTCGGGACTGCATCTCTGAGGTGTTACACTCCTCACCTTTTAACCGCACACCGAGTAACACATGATAATTTAAAGCAGAGAGACATAATTAATGACATTAATTTAATTAATGTAATTTCATCTGCCTATCTTAGGGAATACAGCGCAGAGCAAGTTGTGACAGTGAGTATCTGCTTGCTTTATTTTTAAAGGATATTTGATGATACGTTTTTTTCCACTGAGGTAATTATAGATAATGTTTTTGATTTCTTCTTTTTACAGCTGACTGCAGTACTCCTGGAGGAGGTAGGAAACAGCAAAGCAGGAAATTATACTGATGTTAAGTTTTTATTATATTAGACAATTAAATCTTAATAATAAATTTTCTATGTAAAATTAGAAATGAATGACCTCTTCAAACAGGTATGGAAAGTTGAGATTCTCATCTCAAAAAAGAGATGAGCATCTGAGTCATAAAAACTGAATGGCAGTAAAGGAAGTCTAAAAGGGTTGTTGTCACACGCCTCCACTTCCTGTTGATGAATGAGCTGCTGAGGAAGTAGGTTTTTCAGTTTTCATTCATAAACAAGTAATCACTGTGTGATATTTAAAAATGTTAAATCACACTTGACCCAGTGCAAGAATTTAAATAGAATTCTGCTGCACTCAGTGCAAATTAGTATCTGGGACGTCAAGTCACTCATCAGCTCAGTTATGTAAATAAACTGCAATATCAATCTGTGGATTGATAATATATAATTTCACAGTGAGTCAATTATTGTTGATATTGTCACGCAGTGTTGTCGGGTGTTCATACAGAGAGGAAGTTTGGAACCTTATGGCTAATAATTGTTGAAATGTGAGTTAGTGTAAAGAAAAAAACTGATTTGCTTCTGAGACGTCTGAAAATAGAAGTTTTGATGTTGCAAAAATATTATAGTTTTGTAGTACATATCACAGCTAGTCCAGAACTAGTTCATGAACATATAATGATGCTAAAAGAGAACTGTACAAAACTGTGTCAGTTACTAACATGCAGCAGCTTGATAGACTGTTGTCATCCAATAGATGAATGCCTGGATGGATGAAAAATCACTTATAGCTCAAAAGTGGCATCAGTCATGTCACAGACAACCCAACAAGAATATTTTCTAAATGACTGGAAGTCTAATTCATGAGGGATACGCAGCTGCCTGTCAGTTTAAATAATGCAAAAATTGTACTTTGGAGATCTCAGGCAAAGTAAAATGTTCAGCAGACTAATTGTCAAACTCTCTTTGCTCTTGTAGGGATACCTCAACATTACTGGTATATGATTACCAGTTTCTCCATCACGGCACTGCTGGTTCTACTGGTCTGCATTTGCAGGTATTTCAAGTCAAGTCAAGTCAAGTCAAGTCGGCTTTATTGTCACTTCAACCATCAGCTTCAATGCTGAACTCAAAAGTAACAAACTTCAAAATACAAAGAATAAACTCAGGCAGGCAGACAGAACACAGCATGAATGAGGGTCGATCGTGACACAGACAAAGGAAAACACAGGGCTTAAATACACAGAGGGGGCCATCAGGGAATGGGAAACACCCAACCAGTCACTGGTTGGGTGTGAAGGGAGGAAGAGAGAACAAAAGAGATGCTGTGGAGGGGAGTCCGAGATTATTAATAGTTAATAATTGCAGAGAGGTGTATTAACACATAGTGAGTAAAAAAAGGTTACCAAAGAAGAAACACCTGTGCATCTTGGGAATCCCCCAGCAGCTTAGACCTATTGCAGTGACACTACTGGGAAGATTCAGGCTCACCTTATCCAGCCCTAACTATAAGCTTTATCAAAATGGAAAGTTTTTTTTGCCTACTCCTAAAAGTAGAGCGAGCGTCTCTGTCTCCCAAATCCAAACTGGGAGCTGGTTCCACAGAAGAGGAAAACTGAAGGCTCTCCCTCCCATTCTACTTTTAAATACTCTAGTAACAACAAGCAAGCCTGCAGTCTGAGAGCGAAGTGCTCTAATGGGGTGATACGGTACTATGAGGTCATTAAGATAAGATTGGGCCTGATTATTGAAGCTTTTGCATGTGAGGAGCAGGATTTTAAAATTAGATTCTGGATTGAAGAGAAGCCAACATATAAGAAATCTGCTCTCTCCTAATCCCTGTCAGTACTCGCAGAGTTTTGGATCAACTGAAGGCTTTTCAGGGAGTTTTAAGAACATCCTGATAATAATGAATTACAGCAGTCCAGCCTGGAAATAGTACATGCATGGACAGGTTTTTCAGTATCACTCTGACACAGGTTGTTTCTAATTTTGGAGATATTATGCAAATGGTAGAAAACAGTTCTACTGTACATATGTTTAATTTGTGCTCCGTAGGACACATCTTGGTCAAAAAGATTCCTCACAGTGTTACTGGAGGCCAAGTTAATGCCATCCAGAATGAAGCATCTGGTTAAATACAGTATTTGTAGGATTTAGTATGTTCTGATATTCATAAGATCAGAACAATATCCATCCCTCCCTGTGACAGGCATTTGGTCCTTTCAGACACTGAGGCATGTGTCTGATTTCCCTTATATATCAATAGCAATTTGTTCTTCCAACCAAGCACAGTCAGTGTTTAATTAGTTTCAGTCTTTGCATTCACATTCACAGTCACCAGTGTCATGTAATTATTTGGTTCAGAGTGGAGT